ACACCCACTCTTTGACTAACCACACCTCCCCACCTTACCTAGGTCACATCAATGTCCCTCACACTCAATTTACCCTCATTCCCACGTTTTTAGAGCTGGAACAAACATCCTCTCTCCTCATTTCTCTCATTTGCCCTCATTTCACTAAGAATCAAACACCACTTTTCTCTCAAACTTTTCCCACTCCAATTTCGAGATTCAAGGCTGATTTTCAAGTGTTCTTCCACTCTTAGTAAGTATAATTCATCCTCCTTATGATTATTTCACTTCATTCTACTCAAATCATGAATATCTTACGCAAATTCCATCATATTAACGTTAGAGCTTCGAATCTTCAAGTGATTCTTCAAGTGTTCTTGGGTTGAACACTTCTCTTCTTCAACACTTATCTACTGAAATCACTCAAGGTGAGTTCATACCCCTACATTTTCATGTTTTCTCAAGTTTTCAGGGGGGAATACAAGTTACAACACTAAGAACATAACTAGATTTTTCTAACAGCCTTCATCAGAAAAGTTCAACTCCATTCACGGACTGTTTTGGGCATCTTAAACATTTTTGTTTTCAAAACTGTACAAGGTGCAAATAGTTCAAGTTTTTAGCTTTAAAATGACTACTTGCACATCTCCATACGATTTTTCTACAATTTATGGTGATTTTTACAAAACTGCCTATCATTTCAAACAACAATCCGGACCAGTCTGTGATTATGGACTTTTTCACCCAAGTTAGAGGTCATTATAAATTGTGATAAAAATTATGAGCAAACTAGACACATTTTGTGAACTCTCAGAATTTACGGATCTAGTTTTCGACTTCGTATGATTTTTCTAGGATTTTTCCAAAACAGGGCAGAATTGCTAAATTTTGCCAACAGCATGTAAATATCATAACACTTTGTATTATGTTGAGCAAAGTGTATAATCATAAGTTTTAATATTTGAATGTGTTTCCTAGTTAGTTTATCATTATGAACTGAAACTAAGACATTCATATTAAATATTATTCATTCATTTTGGAACACGTATTATTTAACTATAAAAAGTATAGTTTGAATATATTTATAACACTAATACATTTCCATAAAAGAGTTCATACATATTACATACATTTTAGATAAACTATAATAGGTATAGTTTATGATACATCACTCAACACACTCGTACAAAAAGGGTACATTCATACAATAAAGATTTATATTCACACACATTTAACGTAAACTTGTTATCCTATATTGTGAGTTTCTCTATTTCTCTCTCTCTCTCTCTCTCTCTCTCTCTCTCTCTCTCCCCGTACGTCCGAGTGCGGGATATAATTCCTGGTAGTTATAATCAGAATCTCCTTGAGGGAGAACGTGATACTTGTATATAGATCTATATTGGGTTTGACACCCCACACCTTTCTGCTAGCTACAGTTGGACCTGCAGGTCTACGGGTGACAAATGTCATTTTAATTTTCGCGACGCCTGAGAACGTCGTGGCAGGTTCACATAGTCATAGTATGATTATAGCGGCTCACATAGGATATAACAATCCATAAGTTTACGGGATTTTATTTTAAAACCTAAATGAGTTTATGTCGATTTAAAATCACCTTTTTATCTCTATGAGTACAGATATTACTGTACACTTTTGGTTTTGGTAGTTACGACTACACATCGTTTGAAACCACATTTATACTTTTAAGTATGGTCAATACTTGTTATTACCCGGTCCTCTAATTTAGGACTACATATATATAATGTATTAACAAACTATTTTTCATCTAGAACTGTTAGACTGCAACTATAATCGCTGACCGTACATGTTTGAGTCATATAAGAATTTAGTCTTGATTGGCCTAGAATTGGTGGTGCCCGCCTCATCTCCTGTTCCTTGTTTGGTTGTGGACCTAGGGCAGACCCACTATATTCAACGTTTTATCTAATTTAAACCTTATATAACTTATATACGCTGGACGATTATAGAGGAACTCTACGGGTCATTCTAGGATTCATTAATGCATCATATAAGAATATTTCTATTCACACTTAAATAAGAAAATATTGGATTTTCTGGAAATCAAACTATATCGATCTTACAAGGAAAAACGGTTTCTTCATCAAACAAAACTCTTATGAACTTACCAACCTTTGTGTTGACACTTTTTAAAACTACTTGTATTCTCAGGAAATCAGTGAAACAGGAAAACTTCATCGCTTTGAGGATGGGACGTTAAACCGTCAACAACTTAATTTGTCATCATAATGTAATTGCTTTTGAAACATGTAAACATATACTTTGGTGTAACTTTTGCAATTATATATATGGTGGTCGTTTTTACTTTGAGCACTGTTATACACGTTGTTGTGATACTGTACATGAAGTCCTCCACCCCCAGACGTTTCCGCCATCCTTGGTTTGGGGGTGTGACAAAAAATAGTTGTCACTATGTTAACAATATAGTGACTATGAATAATGGTCACTGTGCTAAAAGTTTAGTGACAAAAAAAATAGTCACTGCATTGAAGGTTTAGTAACCAAAAATAGTGGTCATGACTACACTTATTTAAAACCACATACTTACTCTTTCATTATTGAAAACTACTTAAATGGGAAAAAATAATTAGTGATCACTCAATAGTGATCACTAATGAATTACAATTAAAAAACAATTAATGATCATAAAACAATGGTAACTGACTATATATATATATATATATATATATATATATATATATATATATATATATATATATATATATATATATATATATATGTATATTATAATTTTTAATTAATAAAAATTAAAATATTTTTAATTAATATTTTTTATTTTTGAAAATGCAACAACTTTGTTTTCTTTTTACACATAAATTTAAAAAAACTCGTTACATTGACCGGTCCGTATCAAACATATTTACTATGATAATATTTGGAAAAAATCAAAAAAAAAAAAACATGTTAGAAAAAAGAAGTCTTGGGTTGTATTTATATTTTCAAACCGTACACATGGTGACGACATAATAGTTGTCACTACATGGAAAAAATTAGTGACTAGAAAATAGTGGCTACTAGTATAATCAGAAAAAGAATACAAACGATTTTTTTTACACATAGAAACAATGCGACAATAGAGTAACAGTTATTGGATATGAGCTAGAACTGCGAAAATTTTGTGACCATAATATTACGATAACTGGAAAATTACAAAAGAAAAAGAAATCATTGTTTTACAATTTCAAAGTCATAAACATCATTTTTATTTTTTATTAATTTCATCATAAGAAAATTGCTTATAACTTATCAACATAAAATTACAAAAATGCCTTTATTTTACTATTTTTGATTGAATTATATTATCCATAAGAAAAATTGACAGAAATATATGCGTTAAATTAGCTTTGTTTTTTGGTAAGATGGTATACTTTTCAAAGAGTGATTATATATTTGTTTCTTATACAAATTAAATAACCAGCTGTCAATTTATTTAATAAATATATTTTTATATAAAAGCCTTTTTCCAAGTAACAAAAAAGATTACGAGTTGGATCTTTTTACGATCATTTGAAAATTAGTCTGAAGGGTATAATTGTAAATACGCAACTATAAAAGGACAACTTGAGCCAAAAGGGCGAACGAAATAGAGCAAATTTTGGTTATCTATCCACACCAAAATTCAATCTTTTCGCATTCTCTCAATCCTAGATATCCATCGTTTTCTCTGAATCGATATCTTTGCTCTTCGAGAAATTTCGCTTGTTTTTTTTATTCGGAGGTTTTTTCAAAACGAATTTTCTAGGGTGTTTTTTTTAGAATTCATCAGCCATGGTTTACGATTCGATCTCCAACGCTTCGATCCCGACTGCGGTTTCCAATCCGAAGGAAATTGGCAAGAAAAAGCGGGTACATTTATTGAATTCTATTCAATTGTTCGATTTTATGAGGCGTATCGTTTGATTGATGGATAGTTGCGACAGAAACATGTTGCTTTTTTCTTTTTGGGAAAACAGGAAGTTCTTGTTTTTTGTTACGATCTAACCTGTTTTTTTTTTTCAATGTTGAAGGTGAATAGGACCGCCAAATTTAAGCAGAGCAAACTTGATGTTCGTCATGAACAGTGACCTTCTCAAGGTGATTTTTCTCAGTTTTTTTTGTGTTTGTATGTGAATTTTTGTATCATGTGTATTTGATCTGATATGTATTATATGTAGATGTATTGCTCTTATGGTTAATCAAAAACAAATCTTATAGGGAAGAACAAGGGGTTTAAGGAAGAAAACAAAGGCGATGTTCGTGCAAAAATGCCAGACATGCATACCCCAAACAAGGGAGATCGATCACCGGTAAAATTAGTGATTAATTTTGGTGGTGAAGAGAACGATGGTTTGATGAATCATTACAGTGATTCCAACAACCCTACTAGTCATACAAGCAGCTTGAGGAGTAACAGATCAGTGACTAATGTCACGAGTAGTACTAGCCGGAGCAGAAACAGTTGCAGTGGTGGTTGTTATTCAGAAAGTATGACAGAAGAAGATGATGGTGACGATGGATGCCACCATCGAATTGATTATCCCCACTCCTTCTGCTAGAATGTAAGTGGATATTTTAATTGTAATTACATAATTGGCCTTTTTCAAGGTGTTTGTGTATTTTGTATATGGTTGTAACCATTCATGACAATTCTTACACCTTGGAGGTTTTATTATTAGTGGTTACAACAGCTAGTACACGCTTAGATGGCAAGTTTTTGCTTTGTGGTGGAAGAGACATCTTGTGGGTGTATCCATAATGCTCTCTACTTCCTTCAGTTATATCAGCATTGTCTTTACCCTCATTTCAAAACCTTTATCTCATGCTGCACAAGAGCATTTGTAACTTATTCTACAACAATTTCTTTTTTAAATGTAATTATCTTTTATACTCTTTATAAGCTGATTATTCTGACATGCATTTTCTTTCGAGTTTACAGCCTGCACCGGACAATTTGTGGGAATGTTCACTAACCTTAATGGTGCATGCAACGCTTATGTATCCTAATCAACACAAAGCTTGAGATCACTTCTAAAAGAACAAGTACATCTCATTACTTTCATGAAGGCTATTTTATTCTTTTTTTTTTTCCCAACTTCTAACTCTTTTTGTTACTATATATTGAAGGAAATCTCTTTCAATATGCCACTTTGCAATTCAAAGTTAGATTTATGAGTATTCATTTATATAATAGCTTTTTTTTATATTTGATATCAGGTGGATATACAAGCACTTGCACATACTGTTGAGCTTACAAGACAAGGGACATTTGACTGAGCTTACAAGACAAGGGACATTTGACAGCTTAAAATTTGCAAAGGGTGATCTATTCCAAGCATTTCAAGTAAGCTTACATTATAATGGTCAATTAGAATTGCTACTCATTCAGTCATTCTGTGAAATGACGTTTTTAACCCTGGTTGTTAACAGAATGAAGTGTGTCGGATGAGATTAGACATCACCATGCTTGATGAACTTATTCATGAGTATTGTCTGTATAGGGGCATTGTCAACTCTGGTGCTCCAAACCCTTCATGTAAGTAGATAAGACTCAATTTGGTATGATGGAAATCATGGAATGGAATCACAATTAAATGGAATGGAATTGGATCATTTTTTTTTTTTTTGCTTAGGTGAAGCAATGAAGATAGGACATGAACAATCGGAATCGGAATCCACTTTATCTGTTGAAGCCAGAAGTGGATCCAATAAGCTTGTTGATGCTGACATGGATTCACCTGGCACAGAAGAACGATACCCATGTGGCACAATGAGCAACAACCATGAAGACAGTAGTACAAGTGGCAACAAGTGAGCAACAACCATGTTTTTTTTAATGCATTTAGCTTATGAACTTTTAGGTTAAATACAAGGATGTAGGGAGAATCACTCAACTTCCAATTCCCATTACGATATTGAAATAAAGGATGCGTATCTTACTCCCTGGTTACTTAGTTGTAATTAAGTTGAATGGAAATGTCATATGTAGATGGTTAGAGTCATGAAATACACTAGTTAGAGTAATGTTTTGTAAAGAAAATATGAGCAAGTTTCAAGATAATAGAATATATTTATTGGAAGCTAATATGAGGTTTGATTGATTGTATTGGGTTTAGTTATTGTAATTTTATTCAAACATTATCACTGGAATAATTAAGTATTTTTTTAATTTATAGCAATTACATCAACATTGTAAGTATCGCATTTTCTTGTATTTTTCTTATTAGTGACCACTTTTTGGTCACTATGGTCATTAATATGGTAATGAAAACCAGTGACATTTTTGTGGTCATTAAAAGTCGTCACTAAATGAATAAAACAATGACGATTTTCTTCAATTAGTGACAATATTCAGTTACGAAACGGGTCGTCACAGATTTAGTGACGAGTATATTTTAGTCACTATTTCGTGACCATATTCAATTTTGGTCACAAAATCGATTTTGTGACGGACCTATAGTGACGAAAGTGACGACTGCAATTTTCGTCACTAAATCATTTTGTGACGAATCGTTATACTGTTAGTGACCATTTCGTTTTGGTCACTAATTGGCATATTTTTTGTAGTGGATCCTTGACGTGTAGACCATTTATCATGACTTAAGGTTAAAAAATAATAATAATAAATAAAAATAAAATAAAAATAACATGAAAGCAATGCATATTTGCGCTGCCGGCCATGAAGCGTTTTGATTGATCGCATGTCTTTGTTTTCTTATTTATTTAATGAATTTCGACGACCAACTTCTATTTCAGTCGCCGGCGATGGTGAAACGTCGTATTCCACCTACCTCATACTGTCATACAGGCGATATGAAATCATCATTCATCAATCCTCTTCTGTTACCTCTCTCTCTCTCTCTCTCTCTCACACACACACACACACACACACAATGGCACAACCACTTGTATCGTTCTAACTGGGCTTCCACAAAAGCCATGGCCACGGAGATGATGATTAGCATCGTGAATCCTGAGTCCCCCGACGGTAGCGACAAGCAATATGAAATCAAGTACTTGGAGTACACGTTGTCAACTGTAGTCACAATAAAACCATCCTCAGTCGACAAGTGGATCTCCGACATAGAAGGCACCTACCACGACCGTCTTGACTCCCTCGTAGTAGGCCTAGATATTGAGTGGCTCCATAACGATTCTAAGAAAGTCGAACACCGTGCCGCCACGCTCCAACTATGCGTAGAAAGCAGCTGCTTGATTTTTCAGATCATCCACGCCACTGAAATCCCTATGTCGCTAAAAAACTTCCTCAATAATCCCCAGTACACCTTTGTCGGTGTTGGGATCGAATATGATGTGGAGAAGCTTTTTAGGGACTATGAACTTGTGGTTGGGAGGAAATCAGAACTAAAGACTTTGGCTGTGGAGGAGACAGGTGTAAAAACCGTTCTCAACAAAGGTTTGACTGAGCTGGCGGCAATGGTCCTTGAGAAGGATAAGGAGACGATGAAGCTGGAATCTGCCACCATGAGTCCATGGGATGAAAAGCAGTTGACTCTGGAGCAGGTACAGTATGCGTCCGTCGACGCATTCCTGAGTTTTGTGACCGGGAAGATATTGCTCTTTGGGAAGCAAAGCTGATGTGAAATTTCGAAATCTATCATCTAAGGTGTAATAATGAGTAGTGTTCGTATTTCATATTTGAATTATGCTAGAGGTTGATTTGTTTGCTATATTGGGGATTTGGGGTTACAAAACTAGTTTTAATGATCTATCATCTAAGGTGTAATAATGAGTAATGTATTGTGTTTGATGTTTGAATTTGTATATGTGGAATTGTTTGATGATTTATATGGTGTAAGTGTATCAATCCACTTCTATTTCCATTTTTTTCTCTTATTTTTCCTTATTCTTTTTCAACCTCTCTAATTTATTTTTCTATTTTGGGGATATAAATAGTATTAGATCAAATATAGTGTTTATTTCTCTTAAAATATAATAAACTTTATGTTGTGAGTTTTAATCTTTCTGATTATATATTTGTACATTTTTAATTTACTTTTATCTATTAATTATAATTTAAATGTAATATTTAATACTTATATTAGTTTGTTACATATTAAATTATATCAACTAATTATAATTATAAAGTTTGTGTTTTGTTCATCAAATTCTTATAAAAAGTTAAATACATATTGAAATTTTAAAAAACGATAAGCTATTTTACAAAATCTTATAAATATAATCTTATTTATTTAATATTATTGTAATGAAAAAAATATATATTATATTTTTGTTAAAAACAAATTAGTAGAAGGGATGTATTTGACAACTCATGTCAGTTGGAAGAATTGAATATGCTTGGATTATACTTTTTGGGGTAAAAAATGGGATAAAAAACGGAATAGGGTTGGAGATGAAACACTATTTACCATATTTTTTACTCCATTTTTAGGGGAAAAAATGGGAGTGAGTTGGAGATGATCTAAGGTATTGTTTGCAACAAAACCATTCCTTTTGTATTAATGTTTTATTGCGAAAATGACACATACGTCTGATAATTTTCTAGGGTTTACCATTTTAGTAACTTAACTTGTTAAGTGGCTTTATGAGGGAACGAAGTGTGTTGAAACCTAGCAATTTAGTCACTGTTACTTATTATACCCGGTAAACCTCCCACAGCATCCCCATTTGAAAATTCATCGATGACATGGCAAAACCATAATTACGTCCAATGACCAAAACGATGTCGTTTCGGAATGTGAAATGCAGAGGGCGTGTTCGCACTATTCCCCCCCCCCCCCCCCCCCCCCCCCGCCTCCATATAAAAGTAGAATATTGTGGCTAAAATGGCACAATTCGAAACTTGGTTACCTAAATTACACCCTTAACTTCAATCATAATTGCCAAAACTATACCTTCATGATCATCTCCAAATCACAATTGGTCACCCGACTACAGTCGGTATATGGCTGAGAATTTCTCCAATGGTGTCACCAATGAAGACATGGCGATCAATCTACTCCATACACAGTTAGAGGTGTCGCTTGTGATGGAAGAAATTACAAACGACCTTCGTGAACTATGATGCAACATCACTAGAGACTTGGACGCCCTAAACCATGAAGTTAATGATGTTAGAGAAGGTCAACTCGATATGTCTTACATTGTTGCTGATTTGAAGAAGCATTTGTGTTCACTACAAGCATCATATGTCAACATCATCTTAGGTAAAAACAAGTGCTACAAAGTCAAATGGGTTGTTGGGGTTTTTGTTATCGCTATTGTGGGGGGTGTTAACCTACAAGTTCTTAAAATGACTGAAAAGCTTTAGGTTACAACATTTATTGTCCTTATTAGTAAGGCGTTTTGTTCCTTGTGTTTTTGTTTCTGGTGGTAGTACTTAGTGGTCGTGGTTGGTGTTTTTGTGATCATCTTGTTGTGAAGATCAGTTTTTTGATGGTAATTACAGGTTATGGTAGTTGTATGTAGTAAGATGCAGGTACAAATCTTGTTTTAGCTTGTGTAATAGATGTAAGGGTGTAACACAAGCCCATGAATGAAACGTTGGTTAAGTTACAATATTCTTGTTATAGATCTAAATTGTAGAGACTAGATGTTGTAAAAGTTGAAATGTTTGTTTCTTTAGTTTCGCATGTTAGTTATTTTACTAAGTCTTCATTTGTGCGAAGCTTATAGTTCAGGACTTATTATATTTTTTGTACACACTCAGGTTTCCTATAAATAGGAACTGAGGTTAGAAGTAGAGACATCGAATGCACGAGTGATTCATTACTCATTCGCAATTTCTCTCTGCTTATTTTGTAATCAGTTCTTCATCAATATAAGATCTGATTAATATTTACTTCCTGTGTTCTTACTTTTCATTCATACAATCATGATTGCATTCTAAATCTCGATAACAATTCTCTTCAATTGGTATCAGAGCAGGATTTTAAACTGCATTGATCTGATTTTCGTTTTAGAATCATTTGCTTTTTGAGTAGTAACATTACTCAAAATATTCCGTGGATTTTGGTTCTGAAAATCTCTCTTGATCTTCCGATTTGAATCGATTCTGCATTTGAATTGTTTAGTCGAGTGATCGATTAGCAATCGGTGATCAATTCGTTTGATCAATTCACAAATACATCAAGTTTTTCAAGCTTTCTAAAAATTTATCGTGTTCATCAATGGCGAACTTCAACATGAACACCGTGACTTCTTTCTCTCACTTACTTGGTTCTTCAACCAAAATTCCAATGTTAATCCCTGAATAATATGATCAGTGGGCTGATTGGATGGAGGATTACTTAAATGGAATTGATGAAGAACTCTAGAATTGTATCAGTGGAAAAGTTATACCTCCTGAAAATGTACAAACAATCAGATCATCTGCTTCTTTAATTGACGTTGTTGAACAAAAGAATCGCATGAAAAAGAATGAGAAAAGATGTATGAGGGAGCTAAGAGGTGCTTTGCCTCCTGTGGTTTACAATTACATTCGTAGTTGTAAAACAACCAACGATATTTGGATCACACTGAAAGAGAAATATCAAGGAAGTGAGAAGACAAAGATCAATTATGTTAAGCAATGTCTTGTTGAACTTAAGGAATTTAGACAAAAGGATGCTGAAACAATTGAAAACTACTATGATCGTCTGAATGAGCTTGTTTATCGTTGCAGTAGGTATGCAATCTCAAGATCTTTTATGGAATTAAATCTGACATTCATCATGGGTCTTCGCAAAGAATGGCGTAGTGTGAGTATGATGATAAAGAACCAGCAAAATTTTGATACAACCACCTTGAATGATCTCTACAACCAACTGAAAACTCATGAAAGCGAAGTTACATAAATGCTTGAAGAAACGAAATAGAGTCTAGGAGGACCTTTGGCTTTAGTTTCAAATGTTACTGAAATTGATGCTGGTGAGAAAGAAGAATCAGACAATGAAGGTTTCTTAATGAACTCTTATGATGAAGCAGTTGCATTCTATTCAAACAACAGAGTTATGAAATTTTTCAAAAAGCCTTTCAATCCAAAAGGAAAGCCAAATGATGCGAAGAGTGGTTTCATAAAAGCTGGAGGTGAGGAAAAGAAGAAATTGGAAAAGCTTGAATAAAAGCAGAAAGATGCGAAGGAAGAGAAGAAACTAAAAGGTGATTCTGGAATCTATTGTCATTACT